AAATAGACACAAAAGAAAACGATTGAATTAAGGTCTGCTAAAGTGTGTTTTTGTAATATCTATTTCCCRGGTTTAATGACTTCACTCATACTTTTTTCTATTTCGTTACAAGTAATAGAAACGTTCTTTAAAGTTATTAGTTGCATTGTCTAAGATTACCTTAATGAATCTAAAAGCAAACAAAATTCGCCAAATTTAGTTAATTGCATACCTCCTAAATAACTAGTGACGGAACGCGCGCAAAGGATTGTTGTAGTTGATCAGGCGGTCCTATTTTCAGCTGTTCATCAGCAAACAAAGAGCTATCATTTCACGATAATTTCATAAAAGAATTGAAACCACAACGCACCATTAGACCCACAGGTATTCGTTATAAGAATAGGTAGAATATTGAATTTATACTAGTCCATAACGAAGCTAGGGAAGCAAAGACGCATATACGAGTAATTTTTAGTTCTGACTTCGGTCGCCTTTTTTTTTTTTCRAGGGACTGATTGGCTGGTTTTTGATGGGCTGTCAAAACAGGATCACGTGGCAATGTATTGAGCATTTTTAGATTGAGAAGAAAACTGGGTCTATTTGGCATTACAGTCCATTATGGTATTGTGTTATGAAAACTGAAATATTACCAACATGGCGTCTATGTCTTCCCCTACAAAGAGTTCCATAATGTACTGCAATGTCCACTCAACACAGCTTTCTCCTCAAACTTGGAATATGAGAATACGAGCGTGAAACAATGATGTAGTTAATGCTGAGTTTTTTGTGAAAAGTTTAAGTAAGAAGGCTTTCGTTTAAAATCGGTTTAGTGAGAGACACCAGGGGGTGATACGCAGGCCGTACCAAGAAATCTTTGGTATTTTGCGGTTCGCCATTCGGTGCATTTCTGGATGAATAGCTTGATATATTTAGGATTGGATTTCCTTTATTGTTCCTTCATTAATCGAAACATATTATGTTCCACCAACATCAGCAGTTGCTTTGGGTTGTGGACCAGTAACTTCAGTTTGCACATCTGATGGATCTACTGCACCATGTAAGTCAACCTACTCGTATGTGGAGCCTGCGTGAGCAGGTAAAGGGACCAATGGCAGTCTTCTTCTGAATTGTTTGGATTTATGTTCTGTGCAAATAAAATAAATCACACAAAATAGATTTTTATAAACCCATGTTCTTATAAAAAAAAATAGACAATACTACTTGAGCGTCATCTTCACAGTTCCTTCCTCCATCTTGAAAGGTGGCMGTGCCTTTGCATCGAAGCGAGACGAACGGTGAGCTTGCAATGATAGACACCTTTTTTTTTACACCTTGAACAATTATTCACATTGGCAGTACATAGCTATAAGCTTTTTAACTTGTTTTACTTACCGTTTTTGTCTTCAGTTTTCTGTTGTGCACTACAACCAGGACAATAAGAACCAAGAAAGCCACGTTTAATGCCAAACCAACAGCAAAAAGTTACAATTCTGGAGAAAAAAAATTAAAACACTGAGRACATATTTTAGCATTTATTAACTCTATTTTTAACGTATTTAAAACAGGAAATGTTCCTATGCCATGACTAGCTTTATATACCCATGCATGTTTGTTACAGAGATATTAAAGATGCCAAAATACTCACACAAACTGTGTTCTTCTCTGGATGCCTCCCAGAAATTTACCCTATGATTGAATGAATAATAAATAGATCAGAAGCTAAGAAAATGATTGAATAAAAATCAAAAATCAACATTTTGAGCCATGAAATTTTCTTTAGGTTTTTACTCTCATTTTTTTTTATTTTGGCCAAATCAGTGTGTTAAGATAATTTATATAATTTATATAATAATAATAATAATAATAATAATAATAATAATAATAATAATATCGGATCTTCCTCATATTTTATTCTAACAACCACTGCACTATACTCAAGAAAAATGATATTTAAGCCATGTTAACAAAATTTCTCCTTTCTTTTTTGTCAGGACGCTAAGATCTACCGCGGGCGTACCTGGGGCTGAAATGAAAACAAAAGTCATTCAATTCCATAAATAAATAAGCAAATTTRCTCATTTTGATTGGTTGATAGAGGGAAGGACGTAGGAGATCGGAAACATTCAGAGAAGCATTCAAATGTGTTTGGCTGTCCAGATTGTCCAGATGTTGTAGATTATSGAATAAGATATGAAGGGATAGTATAGGATGCGATAGAAWAGGATTTGATTGTATGGCCTGGGAGGGAATTGAAAATAAGATATCGGGTGGATGGTATTAATGTTAGAAAACTCATTAATAATTCATGAAGGAAACRCAATAGGAATCATGACCGTGAAGGTGATTTTATATCTGATATAGATTCGTCTTCATTTGCATAAACTTTAACTTGGATTTTCTCTATCAAACTTGGTTCATTTCGTAAAGTATTCTGTACAATATGAAAACATACATCATCAGTTTTCTAAGCCGTTTAATAAACTCGCAGATCGTGTCTTATCGGATCTAAAACCACTCGGCTACGCCTCGTGTTTTATRCCCGATAAAACACTCCTGCTCGTTTTTTAAACAGTACATAGATGGACGGTTGAAACTAAAATGTTGCTAAAATCGATAGAGCATTTTCACGTGACGTCACAGCGGCCATTATGGAGTACCAAAGCAATACCTTTTCTATCCTCCCGGGAATTGAACTCTATTTTTATGCAAA